TATTTATATGAGTGAGAGAAGAGGCAGGAATTAAAAGGCAGGTCAGGCCAGTGTTTCCCCCACCCTTTTGTCCATTGTCCCTATGAGAATTATGCTATATGTGGGCGCCTGGGTGGCTCAGTCGTTAAGTGTCTGCCTTCGGCTTGGGTCATGATCTCCGGGGTCCTGGGATCGAGCCCCGCATCGGGCTCCCTGCTCCGTGGGAAGCCTGCTTCTCCCTCTAACCCTACCCCCTCTTGCGCTCTCTCACTCTCTCTCTCTCTCAAATAAATAAAATCTTGGGGCGCCTGGGTGGCTCAGTCTGTTAAGCGTCATGGTCCCAGGGTCCTGGGATCAAGCCTTCAGCTCGGGTCATGGTCCCAGGGTCCTGGGATCGAGCCCCGCATTGGGCTCCCTGCTCGGCGGGAAGCCTGCTTCTCTTCCCTCTCTCGCCGTGTCTCTCTCTGTCAAATAAATAAATAAAATCTTTTTTTAAAAAAAGAATTATGCTATATGTAAGTTGCCATAAAAAATTTTAAATATTTTATTGGTGACATAAATATATAAATATTAACAAAATAGAAGTATATTAAGAGAAATATTAATGTTTTAAAATAAAAATGTTATATCACTCTTGAAGTTACCCAAAAGAATATAAATGCCACAGTGTTCGGATGACCCCTATCAACTCCTTCAAAAATCAGAAACAAGCTCTCCCTGCACAGTTGGAAATTGGACACCATTCCCTTTTCTTCTTGAACTTCTTCATTCCACTCCTCCCTGCAAGAATTTTAAGTAACCTGTTTCTATGCTGAAAAGTCTTTCATTACTCACCATATTAACAAACTGAATTTTTGATCACGCTATTATCACAATTATCAGTAGTGCCTAGCTGATGAAAACATAAAGGTACTATAGGGTTTGGTAAATATTTATTCATCATAACAAGTAAAATAAATAAAAACACTTAGTGTATTCTTTCACTAGAAAGGGCGAGTGGAAGAGGGAGGTCGCTATACAGTCATTATCATGCTCACCTGTTCTATGTGAATCCAGATAATACCAATACAAATCCAAACCCAAATACCCCATTTCTGATTTTATGTCAAGTCCCTGGAAAGTCCTGGTATACACCGTGGTAGACAGAGAGCTCAGGTCTCAGCAGTGAGAGTCACAGAACAACACCTTGCAAGAAGGATGGGAGTCTCTTGGCACCAGTAAGGGGAGGAGGGGAGGACTTCCAGACGGTGGAGAAGGAACCGTAGGAACTTCTCCGTAAAAACAAGATCACATCGACTTGGGGACAGATGAGATTACGTTATTTCAAAATGCAGTGTCTATCTTCCTAGAAAGTGGCTGTGTTTTCCTGAGGGGTCAGGTTTAAAGGAAGTGATTAAGAGAAAAATGGAAAGTGTCCACCGTTTCGTGAAGCTTATAAGGAGAGAGAGATGGGGTATGATGAGCATGAGTGACAGGGAGGGTAAAGGACACAGAGCAGAGAAGATCCGGAAGCATTTGCAAACACGAGGCTGATGCAGCCTCGGGATGGGTGGGTTTACTGGGAAGCCAGAGCAGCGTTGTGAGGACATCATCCTGCTGCCTCTGTGAGAAACACCACCTTGCCAAGGAAATCCGTATATCATACCAATTGACGTCATATATATATGTTTAACGGAGTGTCTCACAATTCTCTCATTATCTGCAAGTTCTTGTAGCCCTCCAAATCAAGTCTTTCCTAATTTTTAAAATTATTTTCATCACACCCTTCACATTGGACTCTGCGGAAACTTTATTCACACCAGGTGTGCTCGGCTGTGTCCAAGAGCCTGTGTGTGAAACTGTGAAGTCACAGCTGTCCTCGGGCTTGGCAAGTCAGCCCTGGTCCCCAGGGCAGGAAAAATAGACATGGTTTGGGATCACATGGCAGAGTAGTAATGTAGTGAAGGAACTGACACTAAATTAGGGGAAACAATGTCTTAGGAGGGTTATTATTTTTTTTTTTTTAAGATTTTATTTATTTATTTGACAGAGAGAGAGAGACACAGCGAGAGAGGGAACACAAGCAGGGGGAGTGGGAGGGGGAGAAGCAGGCTTCCCGTAGAGCAGGGAACCCGATGCGGGGCTCGATCCCAGGACCCTGGGATCATGACCGGAGCCGAAGGCAGACGCTTAACGCCTGAGCCACTCAGGTGCCCCTATTAGGAGGGTTATTTTAGTTCTAGTTGTTTAAAGAAACACTGCTATATTATTCTACCCAGATAAAAATGAAAGCACCTAATCTCTATCAGTTATTATGTTAAAGGGAATGAATGAGAGTACACATGGTTCATCATGTTATCTTGAAAAAACTGTGTCATCACCATCTGGTTTCACCCAAATGAGAATTACATTTATCGTAATTTGTACAGTTTCCCTCACACCCTCCTTTATGTGTCTTCCTTCATTGATTTAGTGCTGCTCAGTGCCAGGTACATAGGTCACCAACACAGTCTTTGCCCTTGAGTGGGTCACGTTCTCGCTGGGAAAATGACACCTCCCCAGCTAGTTGTGCAGATCAGACTCGGGAATGTCCACACCCTGGAAATGTCTTCCCCTAGCATGGACTCTAAAATGTCAAGCAAGAACTACTTTTTACCATTTCAAAATCTTTCAAAGCTTTTCAAAGCAACCCTAGAGAAGCCACTTTGGTTTTTTTATTCAGAAGAGATAGTGTTCAATAAAATACCTTGTCTCCCTTTTAAAGACAAATATATAAAATTATTCTAGTGAACTACATATAAATGGTAGCTATTTTAAGTAAAGTTGAAAAACTGATTCTCTTTTTTTTTAAAAAAAAAAAAGGAGGGGAAGTAAATAAGCAAGGTGCATTTTCATGTTTAAAGACACTTATTGTTGACTATAAACATCCTTCTTTTGGGGGCAGAAGCAAGGTGGGTGGCCAGCTAGAGAACAAGACTGGCGAGCACGAGTCCAGAAGCCCTTTCTTTACCCGCTCAGGGGACCACACACACTTAATGACACTTGCCATGTGCCTGCCCTGTGTGGCTGGGGACTGTGGAACCTGGGGGAGGAAACAGGTATCAACCAAATAATCACACAAATATGTAAGTTCAAAATGTGGCCAATTCTGTACAGGAAAAGTCTTGGGACCCTAACAGAACAGCGGATAGGATCTGCCATGTTGACGTGATCTTTAAAATGGAAAGTAATGGCTCGATCATTTTTTCAAACGAGTTAAAAAAGAATGTCAAAGGCCATTTCAGGGTTGGGTTGACGGAGATTCTCTTAAAGAACTTGAATCTCAACCCACACACCCAAGACCACTATCTTTACGGCCACTATTTCCTGCCTCCTTCCAGGCACGGAGTGAGTGCCATGGTTGGAGCCTATGGAAGAAGGATTTTCTGCCTTTCTATCACCCAACCTAACAAACTGTGCCAGGCTGCAGAAATGAGCTTGGAAGCCCAGGACCCTCTTCCCTTGTGCACGAAGCCAGCGCCGAAGGAGCTGCAAATCTGTTGCTAGCGGGGACCTTTGCAGCCCATCCCTCCTCCTCCTCTTTCTCCCCGCTGCTGGTCCTTCTCCCTTCTAATAGAGTATCTTCTCTCGCTTTTTCTTGCACTTGCCAGCCCTCCTCCTCTCAACAGTGCTGATGGCCACAGGTGTCAGAAACCCCTCTTCCTGCATGCTCTGCCTCAGGAAAGGCTTTCTCCAGACACCAGCATCCGCCACGGTAGACATGCTTTCTCAGCCTTTCCTCCAGGCCCAGCCTTGCCCAGAGCCCGGGTGCTGGACAAGCACACGTTTTCACATCCCACCAGCACCTCAGATGTGTCCTGTGACCAAATAAGGCCCATCAGTGTCAACTCAGTCAAAACTCAGGCATCATTCCCTCCTCCTTCTTTCTCTAAACCAGGGGTCCTCTACCTTGAGTGTGTGCTTAAATCCCCTAGATTGCTGGGCTCCAGCTTCTGGGTCACTAGGTCTGGGCCTGGCCTGAGGATTTGCACACCTGACAAGTACCGGGAAGATGCGCTACTGCGAGAACCACATGACCTCCTCTGGTCACTGGGTCCTGTTGTCCTTTCCTTCTCATGGCCTCTGTGTGGTTGCTCCCACTGACTCACGGGGACTTCCAAGCTGGGGTCCCTGGTGCCTTCCTCTCTCCACCCACCCACCCCATACCTGCAACCCGAGGACTCCCCCACCACTTGGAGAATAAGTTCTAGGCTCCTTCGTGTGACATCACAGGCTCCCCATAACTCGATCCCAAACTCCTGCCATCTTATATCCTACTCTACCCCGGTCCGGCCCTTCTGCTCCAAACGTGGTAACATTCTGTTCCCCAAACACTTTGGTTCAGCGCATTGGGAACGAGAGAACCAGGAGCAGTCCCAAACATCTCACATCCCAGGTATGCAATCAGAGAGCCAGTCACTTACTCCGGGGGCCTCAGAGTCTGGGTCCTCAAGATCCCTAGTGGTCGTAACACCTGTGTCCTCCCCGAAACTCGAAGGTACACAACAGTCCATGAGATTTACACATATATTTAACAATAGGTTCAAAATAGATGCCGTGTCTACGATGTAGCCTAGGGCCATGGCTTGGGACTGTAGAAAGGTTTCTCTGAAGTGATCGACACTGTTGGAAGCTGAACCCGGACTCATTAGCTATCTGTTCACCTACAAGCCTGTTTCTCAGTTCAACAGATTGGAAGGTCTGTTCCCACTGGTAATTGAATTGGTGCATCTGTGAACCGTCGAATGTCATTCATTTTACTCTTGGTTAAGTTGGCGTGGCGCTCCTGGCAGGACCGAGGTTCGCCCTGTCAGTCACAAAGAAGCCAAGACATGCACTCAGTACGTCACATGGACGTCTGTCAGCATGAGCTCATGTTTGCTTATGTAAAGTTCTAACTTTACAAAATAAAATTACATTCTCATGTTATTTTTTAATCTCATCTTCCCTTTGGGGAAAAAAAAAAAACGTTGTTTTAAAGTGATTTTCCTGTGTTTTTTTAGGCTTACCTCCAATTCCTTCAGCTTCCAGGACAGGCTTTGCAGAATTTTCCATGAGGGAACGCATGAGAGAGAAATTACAAGCTGCAAGGGTGAGGAAAACCACATGAATATTTTGCTCGGTGGCTGATTGCCATTCCTCAGGTCTCGTCTGGAATGCTCTGTCTGCTCAAAACTGCACGGGTTTGAATGCCGTTAGATTTGTTTTTCTTGTTTTAAATGTTAATGTGGTATTTAACATTGGCACAGGTGGAAAATTATGCTTAAGAGGTAGTCAGTGTCGTTTTCCTTAACCATTTCACTTGCTCTTCTCTCTTGAAGAGGTGCAGCATGTAGTCTTTACAGATTGTTTTCTACCAAGATGGTGACTGAGGTTTTCACAGCATTCCTGTTGCTACCCAGCAGTGATTCTCTGTTTGACTTTGTAGTCCAAAGCAGAAAGCACGTTGCTGCAGGAAATTCCCACCCCTCGGCCCAGGCGCTTACAAAGTCCCAGCGAGAAAGAATTGGAAACTGAATTTGGCACGGAGGTGAGAAACGGACCTTCTCTACTTTGTGATCAAAAACAATGAAGCAGAAGATAACATCTCCAGAGCTGTTTCTAGAGTTTCTAGAACAGAGCTGTGCACAGAGGAGGCATTCAGTGCTTATCAATAATCATCATAGCTACCATTTATAGAGTCTTGCTCAGGCCACGTGTTTTCCCTGTGTTCTCATATGTCATTATCCCAACACCCTGAGGTGTGGGTTCTGTAGTGTTCGTTCACATTTGACCAATGAGGAAACTAAGGTTCAAAGCAGCCGCGAGGCCGTTCCCAGGTCACAGGGCATGTATGCAAGAGTCAGGATCAGATACCAGCTCTTTGTCATTCCCAGTCTGTCTTCCTGGGTCAGTGTTGCTGGCCTATGGATCTTGCTGGGAAGCAGAGAGAGATAGGAGTGCAGTAGGAAAGTAAGGTGGGATGGTGGGGGCCTTGAATGTCACACAAAGGGCCTCGGTGGTTTCCTACAAGCCATGGAAAGCAGTTGACCACAGGCTGGGGAGGTGGTTTGAATGCACTGGAGTGAATTTTGTTTGAGTCCGAGGTGCTAGGGGGACATGTCAACGTGTGAGCCTCTAGAAACACATACAAAAGAAGGGACCAGGCTTGGAGAAACCAGTTTCGGAAGCATTTCTACTATGGTGAGTTTTGGAGTTTTGAGCAGCCTTTGTTTCCTGATACAACAAGACTGAATGAGGGCGGTCTTGACACTTGGAGAAAAACTGACAGTTAAGACCCATGAGGAGGATAGGAAGCCAGTAAAAGACAGAAGAAAGTCTTGTCAGGGGTGTAGATGAAGGACAAGCCTGTAAGAGGGTGGAATAAGGAAGGAAAGAACAGAGCAAATGGCTCAATGAAGTGTCTACAAGTCTAATCCACTTGTTTGTTGTGGATCGTGATGGTTTGGGTTGGTTTCACTCTTGAGACAAAGAAGCGCAGGTGTGAAGGAATTTCTGTAGAAAAACCACTGACTGCTTAGAGGATGCCTTCTCTTTTTCTGTGACGAGATGTTATAACATTTTGCCTATATTCATCCCAAACAAGCCAAAGTTTGCACGATTACAAGGAAAGTTATATCCGTGTTCATGTTTCATGGCCCATGATTCTTTAGTAGAAACGTTCCATGGTCTGATGAAATGGTTTTATGACAGTTTGTTGCTCCATTCTGCTGAGGAGACATTTATTTTTCTTTGATTCCAAATTATTTTCTTCATTGTAAAAGCCATAATTTTAAAATATTGAAAAATAAAAACTACATAAAATCTCATCAGCTTGACACAAACACTTCCGTTATGTTGTTAGGTGTGTGAATCCTGGCATCTGGTCAGATGGGCTAAATGATTGGATGATCTGGTCTCTTATATCTGAGCCTGTCTATACTTTTTTTTTTTAAGATTTTATTTATTTGAGAGAGAGAGAGAGAAAGAGAGAGAGAGCATGAGTGGGGGCAGGCAGAGGGAGAAGCTGGCTCCCCGCTAAGCAAGGAGCCTGATGTGGGACTCGATCCCAGGACCCTGGGATCATGACCCGAGCTGAGAGCAGATGCTTAACTGACTGAGCCACCCAGGCATCCCTGAGCCTGTCTATACTTTCTAATTGATAACCATTCACAAAGTCATGGCAGCTCTCACTTGTCCATGGGCCATGAATATGATATCCCCAATAAAGCTTTAAGTTGTAGAAGTAAAAATATACTCCCTTGGCTTACAGAGTATTTATTGCTTTTTGTGAGCAGGACCTTGACTTATATCTATTATATTCCATATCCCCTAAGAGCCATTCTATGGATTTGAGGTGTTAGGAGAGGTCATCAAAAAGGCATGACCGCTGGTTGACCTGCGAGCTGGACCCAAGCACTTGGAGGCTCCTCACCCCCTCTCCTGTCTTGGGAATGTGTGTCCCACTTGCCTTTCCCACTCCCAGAAGCTGCCCCAGGGATACAGCCTTGAGATAGGAATGTGGTGTTGACCATCTGCCTGGTATACTTGACTGAACCCAGTTAGGACCTCTGTATAAACTTCTAAGATTTGGCAGGCAGGGGCGGGGATCTCATCTTTCAGTCACCCAACACATGCCTCGGAAGTTCCCTTGCCGATTAGAACTTCCACCTCCAAATCTAGAATGGTCTGCTTCTCTTCAGTCTCTCCTTGCCCTCTGCGTGCATTCATGGCCAATTGGCAAAACAACATGAGACGAACAACAACTGCCTTATCTCTCTCTCTCTTTTTTTTTTATTTTCAGAAAAGTCCCAGAGGTGGGACACGGCTAATGCTCTCAGTCTTCACTTAGCTAAGCCAGGAGCTCTCAGATCTGGGCTATAACTCACCTTCCAGTCCACGGGCTTTTTAAAAACACCTCCCTCTGGTTTTTTTCTCCTTGATGACCCCAAGTGGTTAAGAAAGTGAATTTTAGTGAACGATATGGAAAGGATATATAAAATTGCTTTCAGCACAGCCCTGGAACCATAACAATACGGGATGATTTTAGCTCTCAAGGAAGAAAGAAAGAAAGAGAGAAAGAGAGAGAGAAAGAGAGAGAGAGAAAGAAAAAGAAAGAAAGAAAGAGAGAGAGAGAGAAAGAAAGAAAGAAAAAGAAAGAAAGAAAGAAAGAAAGAAAGAAAGAAAGAAAGAAAGAAAGAAAGAAAGAAAGAAAGAAAGAAAGAAAGAGAGAGAAAAAAAAATTCCGGTAAAGAAAAATCAGTTCTAAGGCACACTAAATAAGATAAATATGTGTGTCTACCTTAGCCAATTGCAGGGAGGAAGAAGAGGCATCAGGCTTATACATTTTGGCTTAGGGAATGAAACAGCTTCAATAGTCAATTTCATTGTATTTTGTATTTCTTTAGATTCAGGTTAATCATGATAGTGCCTTTTTAAAGTCTGATTCAGCCATCAGAGGCCGTATAACTTACCAAAGGGAAGAGTAAAACCGAGTGGGCAGGAGCTGGGGGAGTGCAGAGCTCAGCTCATGTCTCAACGACCTGCATGCATGGTGTGACAGGACAGGCTGACCTGGCAGGAATGAGTGACTCCTTTTCCCATGAAGTTGTGACAGACAGGCCGGGTTCCATAGTTTCTTTCTCTTCCAGTGTTGGGTTTCAATGATACAGTGGACAACGGTGCAAAATAGCCAAGTTACATGAACAATTGACTCATTGCCCTTTTTTAGACCTGACCTCAGGCTATTAACAGAATATCTCACAGAGCAGATTTGTTGATGTATAGACCTCAGCCCAGAAGGAATATTGAAAAAGTGGTCCATTTACATCCTCTTGAGCAAAGAATGGAAGACAGGAAGAGCCCAGATGCTGGACCCCAACTGCCCAGCGTTAAATGCTGGCAACCTCACTCACCAGCTGCATGATCTTGGAAGTGTAATTTATCTCCTCTCTGGACCCCAATTCCCACCAGAAACTAGAGCCTGAGGCAAGGATTTTTCATGCCTTATTTGTGTGGCTTATTCTGAGAAGTGGTATCAATGAACAGGAGTTGGGAACTGGGGAGAAAGAAACAGGAGGGAAAGCCCGTTCTGGTGAATGTTACTGAGCTGGCTAATGCTGTGGTGCCCAGGGCTCGATCCTGCCAGGGCCCTGCTGAGGAGAATGTTTCTCAGAATTGCCTGCCTAGGACCTGGAAGAGAGGGTGTTTGTCTCATGGCTTCTGTTCCCAGCAGGATTTGCCCAAGGCTCCTGGCCTTCCTGGTTTTGTCTAAGTCTCAGAATGTCTGAGTGGGTCCTGCAGGCCAGTGATGAGAGCTTGAGATCCTTGGAACAGCTAAAACCAGGTGCTATGAAATTTCACCTGAATGCAACTAGATGTCCAGCCTGACCAGAAGAAAAACCAGAGTATCACTTAGATGTAATCTATCATAATATCAAGTATATATATATATATATATATATATATATATATGCCATTCCCATTTATGTAAAATTCTATGCCTCAGTCTCTAGTCTCTGGCAGACTAAAATAAAACATTTATGGTCATGTGATGTAAATACAAACCAGGGAGATCAAAGACATGTAAAAAGAAAATTAAGAATGTGGTAATAAGACCCACCATGATTGAGCCATAACTGTGGGCATATTTTAGGTGCATTGCTTTACTTGATGCTCAAAACAAGTGTCTAAGCTGTAAGTGGTGGAGTTGGGATTCACAGCCAGGCAGTCAGCCTCCAGAGCCCATGGTTTGATTACTAAGCTAGACAGAATAGCACCTGATATGCCTCAGACAATAAGATTCTAGAAAAGAGATTTCATTTTAGGATGGAGGAGTCTGAGAAAGGAAGTAGCTTTGCATGGTCTGGAAAAACAGGTAGGACTTGGGAAGGATATGTGGGAGGGGCCCAGTGCAAATACACTACATTCCATTTTCACTGATGAAAATTATTCCATGCTGTGACACAAGTCTCAGTCCAGATAATAATAACAAGGTTTCCATCACAGGTAGAATAAATTTGTCCCTTCTTACAATGAAGATCCAGATATACTATTGGAATGGCTTGGAGTTACTCAAAAGGAAGGCTTGGCATTTGGATTGTGCTGGGTGGAAAAGGATAAGTAGCCAGGTTCTGAAAGGGGTGGATTAAAAGCAGAGATGAGGACAGAATGGGAACAACCCTTGGTGGATTGGTCATTACAGGATGAAGGGAACCTCCATAATGAGAATTACCACATGGGGCTATCATAGATAGAATTTGGCTTCCAGGGGGGAGAGCAGATCCAGGGGCTCACAAGGACAGGCCTAGTGCCCTGGAGGGTATATGTCAGATTTATTCACATCCAGGCATTATTGATGCTTTTCTTCATAAATTGTTTGGAAATGGTCCTCTGTGAACTAGATAATCTATTGATTTGTAGAAGAAAAGCATTTGTCATTTTAGGGTCCTTTGAGTATAAAATTTTGTATTTGTTTAGTCTTGAGAGAGACAGAGCTAAGAAAATATTCAGCAACCTTAACCTTCAAATATATTTGACATTTGTAAGCATTTCATTCCTTGGGAATGATGGTCTGCACCAATGGTCAGACAGTTTCCCCTTTGAGAGTTAATGGGCTTGTTTTAGAACATCTTTAGTTTCTTGATTTAAATGTTCTGTCTATCCTGGGACACCTGGGTGTTTCAGTCGGTTGAGCGTCCAATGCTTAATTTAGGCTCAGGTCATGATCTCAGGGTCATGAGATCAAGCCCTGCATCAGGCTCCATGCTCAGCGTGGAGTCGCTTGTCCCTCTCCCTCTGCTCCTCCCCTCACTCATGCGAGCTCTCTCTCTCAAATAAATAAATAAAACCTTTTTAAAATAATAAATAAATGTTCTAGCTATCCTTTTTTCTGCTCATATAGGCAGATGAGGAGGTACAAAGGACTCAAAAAGAAGATGATTCCCAAAGTTACTCAAGAGTAAAATTCTGTGATTCTGTACGAAAAATCAAGCCTAAACCCATGGTGAGAAATCCTGTCTTTTTAAATCATGCATGCTTGAAATCATGTTTTTTGTTTATTTGTTTGTGTTTTCCAAAAATATCCAATGACAGATGCTTATATACGTACCCTGACTCTTATTACCATGGAATATGCAAGAAAAAAGCATGAGAACTGATTCCTACTTTTAAAATGCTAGATCTCAGCAGGAGAGATTAGAATACTGCCTGACTGGGTGAAGGGGGATGCATGGAAGGGTAGGAAATGTTAGCAAAAAGACTATTTTTTCAGCTCTGAAGTTGTACCAGCTTTCATTATGGGAAAAACGGGGGGTATCAACTCAAGAAGAATCAAAACCAAAAAAACCATTTTTTAAAAAAAGTTAACAGACCCCTGGATTGCTCATAATTAAACAAAACTATCTCAGCATTGGTCTATAAAATAATGAATCTACTTTTTGGTATTTTAATCATTTTTTTCAAAAGCTGTTACTGCTGTAAATAATGTATTTATGTGCCTATGAGAATGTTTGCTAGTTTATAAAAAAGTGACTATTAAAATTACTTATTCGAAAAAGCCACCAACTGCCTGTCGCGTGTGTTAAAGTTTGTGACAGGTAATCTCGTACCTTTGACAAAGGTAATGCACTTAGGATACCTAGAATGTGCTTGATGCCACTAACATCAAGCTGCTCTCAGCGAGCTGTGTGACACTTATCTCAGCTTCTCAATTCTCAATAAGATCTAAAATTCTATTGCACGTGCTTCTCCTTAGGTTCCACCTGGCTTCCCTTCTGCCGAAGAAGCCTATAACTTCTTCACTTTCAACTTTGATCCTGAACCAGAGGAATCAGAAGAAAAACCAAAAGCCAAAAACAGAGATGGAATGAACCAAGAGGAGGAGGAAGGAGAGGAAGAAGAGCCTCCTGTGCAAGAACACAAAATGGTATTTAATATTATGATGGTAATGAGGTGAGGGATGATGATGATGTTAATGACCACGATGGTGATGATGATGATGATGATGATGATGATGATGATGATGACATCTTCACCAAAAGGAAAGTGGCTGAGGACAAACCTGCCACCACCACACACAACAGCTCATCCATCCCTTAGTTGAAAGCAATAGGAATACTATGTTCACGGTACTTTCTGTACCCTTTGATTTTACCCCACAATTTGGATAATAAGGACCTTGATTAAATCTATCTATTTCTGGTGGAAAAAGAAAAAAAAAACAGAACAAGGCAGCTTACAGATTTTGCTAGACTCCACACAATGATTACTATTCATCTCATATGCAAAATGTTGGCCTCTCCCAGGCAAATGAATCCTTGCTCTCCTTCTTCCCACAACCTCACAGGTGATTAGCTTTTTGTGCCCCATTCCACACCCAAGCTATGACTCAGACTCTGTGCATGGCACATGTGAGACAAAAGAAAACATCCCATTAAAAAAATGGACAAAGGACTTGAATAAACATCTCTCCAAAGAAGATATACAAATGGCCAATAAGTACAGGAAATACACTTCATATCTCTAATCATTAGGGAACTGCAAATCAAAACCACAATGAGATACCATTTTACACAAATTAGAATGGCTATTGTTAAGAAAGAAAGGAAGGAAAAGAAAGAAAGAAAGACAGAAAGAAAGAAAGAAAGAAAGAAAGAAAGAAAGAAAGAAAGAAAGAAAGACAGACAGAAAGAAAGAAAGAAAGAAAGAAAGAAAGAAAGAAAGAAAGAAAGAAAGAAAGAAAGAAAGAAAGAGGATGCCTGGGTGGCTCAGTTGGTTAAGCGACTGCTTTCGGCTCAGGTAATGATCCTGGAGTCCCGGGATCGAGTCCCGTGTCGGGCTCCCTGCTCTCTCTCTCTCATGTGCTCTCTCTCTCTCATTCTCTCTGTCTCAAATAAATAAATAAAATCTTTAAAAAAAAAAAAGAAAGAAAGAAAGAGAGAAAGAAAGAAAAGAGAAAAGAAAGAAAAAAGAAAAGAAAAGAAAAAGAAAAACGGGCTGGCAAGGATGTAGAGAAATTAGACCCTTGTGCATTGCTGATGGCAACATAAAATGGTGCAGCTGCTATGAAAAGAATGGAAACATGGAATTACTATGTTCTAGCAACTCCATTTCTGGGTATATACGCAAAAGAATAGAAAGCAGGCACTCAAACAGAGACTTGTACACTTAACGCTGAGAGAAGTGTTCTCAACAGCCAAAAGGTAAAAGCAACCCAAGTATCCATCAGCAGATGAATGGATAAACAAAATATGGTATATATATACAATGGAAAATTACTCAGCATTAAAAAGGAAAGAAATTCAGGGAGCCTGGCTTCTCAGTCAGTAGAACATGCAACTCTTGATCTCAAGAGTTGTGAGTTTGAGCCCCACGTTGGATACAGAGTTTACTTTAAAAAAAAAAAAGATTTGGATATGTCAATTATCTCAATAAAACTGAAACAATTTTAAATAAATAACTTTTTTAATTTTTAAAAAGGAAAGAAATTCTAATAGATACAGAAAACACATTTGACAAAATTCAATATCTATTCATGATAAAAACTCTTAAATTAGACATAGAAGGAATGTACCTCAACATAATAAAGATCATCTATGACAAAACCACAGCTAATATACTCAATGATGAAAGGTTGAAGGCTTTTCCTCTAAAATCAGGAGCAAGACAATAGTGCAAATACACTACACCGCAAATATAGTCTCACCGCTCCTATTTCAACATAATACTAGAAGACTTAGCCAGAGCAATCAGGCAAGAAAAAGCAATTAAAAGTATCTGAATTGGAAAAAATAAAATTGTCTCTATTTACAGATGCTTTGATTTTATGTAGAAATAATCCTAGAGACTCAACCAAAAAATTGTTAGATCTAATCAATGAATTCAGTAAAGTTGCAGCATACAAAATTAACATACAAAAGTCAGTGGTGTGGAGTACCTAGGTGTGGCCTAGATGGCTTAGTTGGTTAAGTGTCTGCCTTAGGCTCAGGTCATGATCCCAGGGTCCTGGGATCAAGCCCCACATCAGGCTCCCTGCTCAGCAGGGAGTCTGCTTCTCCTTTTCGCTCTCCCCGGCCCATGCTCTCTCTCTCTCAAATAAATAAGTAAAATCTTTAAAAACAAAAATCAGTAGCGTTTCTTTACAATTACAACAAATTTTCTGAGAATGAAATAAAGAAATTGATCCCATTTACAACAGTATCAAAAACAATAAAATACTTAGGAATAAATTTAACTAAGGAGGTGAAAGACCTGTACTCTGAAAAGTGCTAAGACACTGATGAAAGAAGTCAAAGAAGACACAAAGACATGTAAAGTTATCCCATGTTCATGGATCGAAGAATTAATATTATTAAAATGTCAATACTGCCAAAAGCCATCTGTAGATTCCATGCAATCTCTGTAAAGATTTCAATGATGCTCTTTACAGAAGTAGAAAAAAAAACCACTCCTAAAATTTATGTGGAACCACAAGAGACCCCAAAAGCCAAAGTAATCCTGAGAAGAACAAAGCAGGAGGCATCACACTTTGATTTCAAGCTATACTATAAAGTTGCAGTCATCAAAACAGCATAAAAACAGACAAACAGGCCAGTGGAACAGAATCAAGAGCCCAGAAATAAACCCAAGCACATATGGTCAACTAATATTTGACAAGGGAGCCGAGAATACTCAATGGAGAAAAGACAGTCTCTTCAATAAATGGTGCTGGGATAACTGGATATTCACATGTAAAAGAATGAAAGTGGACCCCTATCTTACACCACTCACAAAAAACTAAATCAAATGGATTAAAGGCTTAAATGTAAGACCTGAAACCATGAAACTCCTGGTGGGGGGGGGGGGGGGTGTCAGGGAACATAGGAAAAAAACTCCTTGACATGGGTCCTGGTAATGAGTTTTTGGATATGACACCTAAGCACAAGCAACAAAATCAAAATGTAATTTTTTACCTAGATTTATGGAAGCTTGGGAGTACTTTCCCTTATTCCATAGTAACTGTTTTACAAATCAATATTCAGCTTGTTCTCACTCTGGAGGTCTCGTGAGGTTACAGACAAGGAGGCCAAGAATGCAATCAGTTGAAAGCTTGACTGGGTCGGGAGGGTTTGCTTCCAAGGTGGCTTACTCTCCTGCCCCACAGGTGCTGGGTGTTGTCAGGAGACCTCCAAGCTGCTTGAGCGTCCTCGTGCCATGACAGCTGATTTCCCCTAAAGCAAAAGATCCAAGAGAAAGCAAAGAGGAAGCCACGGTGCCTTTCCTGACCTTGAGTCAGAAGCTACATACCTGCCCTCATATCCTGCTCATTAGGAGCAAGTAACTAAGTCCGGCCCCCACAGAAAGGGGGGAGAACCAGGGCCCGCTTTTGGAAAGCAGGGCTCTCGACAAATCTGTAGACTTCTGAAATCATGACATAAGACGTGACATGTCTCCACAAGCCACCTCTCCTCCCTTTTGCATGTTTCTCCCCAGAAGCTCTGTGTTCCTAAAACCGCCCTTTGAAATAAATCATGCCCTACCGTGAAGCCCCTTCCCTGTACTCCATGCCCTTGTCTGCTCAGACCCTTTTTCAGTATTTTTATTTTTATTTTTTTAAATTTTATTTTATTATGTTATGTTAATCACCATACATTACATCATTACTTTTTGATGTAGTGTTCCACGATTCATTGTTTTCGTATAACACCCAGTGCTCCATGCAGTACGTGCCCACCTTAATACCCATCACCGGCCTAACCCATCCCCCCACTCCCCTCCCCTCTAGAACCCTCAGTTTGTTTCTCAGAGTCCGTAGTCTCTTGTGGTTCATCTCTCCCTCCAATTTCCCCCCCACTTCATTTTTCCCTTCCCTCTACTCAAAGTGGATTTAGTCTTTCTGGCAGAGGTTTTAGATCCTGTGTAGCCCTCCTAGTCTGTCTTCTCTGCAGTTTTTCTCCGTCTGTCTGCTCACCACAAAGCCAAAAGGGGGCACAAGCGAGAAAAAAATCACACACTGAAATTAGGGCACTTTTCTTTTTTACTTTTTTGAAGTTTTTGGCATTCTGTGTCCTCAAGTTGTCCTGGGAGCTTGGTTACCATATAGATTTACTTCCCCTTCTCATTGTTTGATTTATTTGGGAGGAAATATGAAGAGGCAGGTAGCGAGGCTAGCACCTGGGCAAATCTCCACAGGATGTTAAAGGTTGTTGCTCATAAATGGGCACCAGGCTTTAATTTAAAAAAAAAAAAAAAAAAGAAGGAGGAGGAGAAAGAGAAGAAGGAGAAAAGTAAGGAGGAGATGAGAAGAAGAAGAAAGAAAAGGAGTAAAAGGTCGGAAAATATTCAAACAAAATTAACATGCCGCAGCTAGCATTTGTGATGACAGACCCAGTGCTTGGGATTTTTATGTGCGTCCGTTAATTCTATCCTCACAAAAGCCTAAGAGGTAAGTAAGCTCTGTTAATATCCACATCTTACAGTGGAGAAAACCAAGGATAAGGACAGCAGGTAAGTCCCCCAAAGTCCCGCCAGCAATGTGGGTGGAGCTGGGCTGCATGTGTGGACGCTGAGCAGAGTGTGGACGCTGCTTACAGGGTCTTACCCTGGGGTCGGTGCCGGGGGGAAGGTTAACATACCATGTAACTTCTGAGCCCGAGGACGTGAAGTAAATGTGGAAGAATACACACCCTCAAAGGAGGCCAGAGTTGAGATTTCGATTGCTTTGCCCAGCACATCTCTTCTGACTTCCGCCCATTCTGATTTTGAGATTTTCCGAACATGTGGAAGAGTGAAAAACAAAGAAAACCTGCTTGGGGAACATGAAAGGCTATCGAGTTTTATGCTTTCGTTTAAAAAAAGATAAAAGGAAAAGAGCACTGTCTTGTAAGTTGTCTAGTGAGTTTAATGCCATTGTTTTTCTAAGCAGACTCATAATCGTGGCGTGATTTTTCTTACTGTTTAATGTAATACAGGATGAGGAAGAGCTGCTTAGTGCTAAGGATGACGAGGATTTTCTACTGGGCTTAGACCACGCAGCTGAGGATTTTGTGGTAGTCAGACCTGCAGATTATGAAAGCATCCATGTTCGACTGCAGATGGAAAAAGAACTCCTGTTCGTACCCAGTAGGCTGACAGGTACTTGCTCTTTTTGCCTTTCTGCTCAGCTTGGGCATCTTCGTTTTCCTTTATGAGACATACAGCTGGTGTCTGAGGATGTCCAATTTCCATGGCAGATCCCAGTTTCTAATCTGAGTTAGTCATCAAGAAATATCTTCAGATTAAAAAACAACAAAGAACATGAGAAAGTGCCCATTGAAAAACTCTCACTAATAGAATAGCAAAAGGAACACCTGGATGTTGTGGGGGGTCGCCTCATCGAATTGGCGACCAGTTCTGGGGGCAGAGAACCTGAGAGACTCTGAGATTCAGGCTGTGAGAAAGAAAATCTCTCTGTTTCATCCTCTACTCACTCTCAACCCTGCTAGAACACTTCTGTGACCAGATGTGTGGGGGGTTTTCCCCACACCAACCAATTCTCCAACACAAGCTGTATATCCTACAATTCAGATCTGACACTTATACCCAGAGTCAGCACAGACCCCACAAGTTAAGGGCTCCATCCCACAAGACTACCCTCTATTTAGACAGCAATCACAAGTAGTGGGTCCCCAGGTTATCCATACTTCTATTCAATTTTGCCACAAATTGGGGGTTCCATGACCACCCTCCTCAGGTTCGATAATTTGTTCTAACAGCACATAGTAATCAGAGAAACACTTATATTTAACTGGTTTATCATATAATAAAGGATATGGGGGCGCCTGGGGTTAAGCGTCTGCCTTCAGCTCAGGTCATAATCCCAGAGTCCTGGGATTGAGCCCCATGTTGCTCAGAGGGGAGTCTGCTTCTGCCTCTCCCTCTGCCTGCCATTCCCCCTGCTTGTGTTCTCTCATTCTCTCTTGCTCTCAAATAAATAAATAAAATCTTAAAAAAAAAAAAAAAAAAAGAGGATATGAGAGAGCACACAGATGAAGAGATTCGTAGGGCAAGGCATGTGAGAAGGGGCGTGGAGCTTCCATCCCCTCTCCAGGTCCCTCCCAGCACTCCATGTGTTCATTGACCAGGAAGCTCTCCAAACCCCTTCAGCTAGGATTTTTATGGAGGCTTCTTATGTCAACATGAGCGACCAAGTCATTGCCATTGGTGATTAATGAACTCTCTAGTCCCTCTCTTCTCCTGGAGGTGGGGGTGGAGGACAGCAGTGGCTGAAAGTCCCAACTGTCTACTCACAGGGCTGGTTCCCCTGTCTGCCAGCACCATCCTGAGACTATCGAGGAGCCCCCAGCCGCCAGGCATCTCAGTAGCGTGCAAAAAGATATGATCACTTCAGAGATTCTGAGGGAGGTACAAAGCAGGTTGGCTGAGGTCCCTCAGGGGGCAATGGCCAGGGTATTAAAGCAGATTAACTCCTAGTGACTGCCCTTGCTTCGTTTCTGCCCTGGGTTTCCCTTTGCTCTTTTTTCCCTTGGAATTTTCTTTCCTCCGGAGAGTGCCTGAAGGACCTCCCCAGTTAGTTAGCTGGTAGTTCACGCTTAAAATGGGAGTCCCCAGGAGAGCCCCGCAGGCTGGGAAGGGGGGCTGCACGCACCTTACGTGGGAGTTGGATTTCTTTTCATTTGTCATGTTCTGAGTTCCAATTAAATGCCAAGCCAAGGATAAATTATTCTTCCTTTTTGATAGATCATTTTGAATCATATATGGTTCAAAGTATTGGGATTTCTTGGACATCTCAGGTTTCCTTTTAAAGTAGGTAGCTGGGAAAGGCGCCCAAAGGTTACAGCTTCGCCGTAACAATGACAGGGAACGCACTCCGTACCCTTCCTCCGCCAGGTTCCTTTTTTTTTTTTTTTAATTTTATTATGTTATGTTAGTCACCACATAATACATCATTGGTTTTCGATGTAGTGATCCACGATCCATTGTTTTCGTATAACACCCAGTGCTCCATGCAGTATGTGCCCTCCTTAATACCCATCACCGGGCTAACCAATACCCCCTCCCCCCTCCCCTCTAAAACCTTGTTTGTTTCTCGGAGTCCATAGTCTCTCATGGTTCATCTCTCCCTCCAATTCCCCCCCCCATTTTTCCCTTCCTTCTCCTAATGTCCTCCATGCTATTCCTTATGTTCCACAAATAAGTGAAACCATATGATAATTGACTTTCTCTGCTTGACTGACTTCACTTAGCATAATCTCCTCCAGTCCCATCCATGTTGATGTAAAAGTTGGGTATTCACCCTTGCTGATGGCTGAGTAATATTCCATTGTATATACGGACCACATCTTCTCTATCCATTCATCTGTTGAAGGGCATCTCGGCTCTCTCCACAGTTTGGCTATTGCGGACGCTGCCAGGTTCCTTTCTAAGCACTTGATGTGTGTCAACTCACCTAGCCCCACACCAGGGCTGGACAAGTGTTCTTTCTCATGCCCATTTTACAGATGAAAAAGCAGAAGCCCAGAGAAGTTAGGGAACTAGTCCAACGCCACAAAGCTAGTGACAGGAAGGAGGCAGGGTTCTGACCTGGGAGGCCAGCAGCAGAGGGCACACACCGGGCACAATGCGTCCTGATGCTCCTTGGGGGTTTGGAGAAATGCACCGGCCGCAGCCTCGGCCAAGGAGGAGCGCCGTCACCTTGTGTCTGTGCTCAGAGGTCTCACTGTCAGGCCTGTCCCTGGAGCCCCCTGGGCTGGGAGTGGAGGTTAGACCCCAGGGGCTGGCTCAGACTGGGGGCTGGGGTGAGAGGGGAGCGCGTGGAAGAGGCTTCAGGAGCCCCCGCTGCACCCGGCACCTGCTCTGAGTGAGGAATCCAAGCACCGGTCCTTCTCCCCACCTCGCTCCGGTCCAGAGGGGAGGCAACCCCTGGCCTAGCAAACCAAAGCTGGGGAGCCCCACTGCCCCAGCTCCTCCTCCCTGAGGTATGACCTTGAGCAAGCTCCTTCATTCTCGGTGCCTCGCCTGAAAACGGAGGAAATGAAACAATCCTACATCATCATGACTCTGGGCGTTTCTTCCCTTGAGCACTGAGCAAATAGCCTGAGCGAAGCGTCTGTGTGTTGACCAGCACACAGCAGGGGATCAAGAGTAATAATGTTTCTGGGGCACCTGGGTGGCTCAGTCGGTTAAGCGACTGCCTTCGGCTCGGGTCGTGATCCTGGAGTCCCGGGATCGAGTCCTGCATCGGGCTCCCTGCTCGGCGGGGGGTCTGCTTCTCCCTCTGACCCTCTTCCCTCTCGTGCTCTCTGTCTCTCATTCTCTCTCTCTCAAATAAATGAATAAAATCTTAAAAAAAAAAAAAAGAGTAATAATGTTTCTGTTATCAGTGCTGTTCTTGTTGCTGCTTGGAGAGTGGTTGCCAAAGCAGAGTGTGTTCGCCCCGGGGACGCAGGAAGCAAACCTCAAGTCTTCTATTGGGGCGTATTTCTAATCTCGTCCTTTCCTGATTTAACTGTGCATGTACAATAGTGTGTCCACAACCAGTGAACACGTAGAGTGAGTGAGTGCTCAAAAACGTTTCCATGAAAACCTTCGAGGACAGCTGGATTAGTGCCTGCTACCTAGCCATGTGAATGGAGGGGCGGGGAGCAGACCCCCATGTTTGCTCAGGTTGGCCGCATGTTGTCTCCGGACTCCGAGGTCCATTTTTCCAAGAACGCTGGTATTAGTTGTTTTGTGTGGGTGAGTTTGGGAAGCAAAGTGACCAAATGGCCACACAGGAAAATTAGCAGATTCGGGGATTTGGCAAGGTTTGGAGTGAGATCATTAGAAACAAAAGAGACTCTCCACCTTTCCTTATTAACTCCCAGATTACCTCCGGACACTCACAGTTCCCCTGGCTTCTTCTCTTATTTTCTCCTCTGGCCTACTCTGCCCAAGCAGGCCCAGGGATCTTTCCAGAACTGAAAATCCACTCGGTCACTCCCCAGGTAGAGCCTTCAGGGGCCCAACCCCCTGACCAAAACCCAAGCTGCTGGTGACCTGCAGGGCCCTCCCTCCGCCCTGCCCCTGCCCACCACCCCACAGTGCCCAGTGTTACCCCACTCCATGCCCTCGGGGGTCCCCCATCCCGGGCTCCTTCCCTCTCGACCTTCACGAGTTGGTATAAACACAAGGCCTCCTGAGAAAAGCCTCCCTCCCTGCTCTATCTCTTCTATCCTCTTTTTAACTTTTTAACTTACAAAGCATTTTCTCACACTTTACCTCATTTAATTCTCCCAAGAACCCAGTGAGTAGATATCATCATCCTTTTTGCACAGAAGGAAAGCATTCCAAGCAGTGCCAGGCCCGGCTTCGTTCGGCCAGCGAGCGAGCCGCCCAGCAGGCCCTCTGATGTGAATACCGCCCTCCCCACAGTAGGCCACACTGGTGAGCGAGGTGCGGAGTCCTGTCATGGTTCTACAGCGTGATACTGCGGGTGAACACATTCCTCTTGTCCTTGGTTCTGCTTCTGGAAATTAAGATGGGGGCCTTGGCAGCTTCCAGGAATACAAATGAAATTTCCAGTGGTTGTTTTGGTTCAGCACATCGCAGTTTGAAATGTGTAGGTTGGCACTAACGTTGCTTGTATTTATTTATGTACTACCTAGTGCCTACGTATAAAAAGCTTCCCGAGAATGTGCAGCCCCGATTTCTGGAAGACGAAGGCCTTTATGCTGGGGCAAGACCTGAGGTGCCCCGCGCCTGTCAGAACATCATGGAGAACAGGCTGCTGACTCAGGAGCCCGTAAGCGCGCGCGCAGCCCCGTCCCACCGGTAGCCCCTGGGCATCTCTGGGTCAGAGCTGCTTCTTCCTGTCCCGGGCAGTCAGCACACCCTCAGGCTCAGTTCCTCCTGTCTACAGACAGTGGTTCAATTTTTTTTTTTTTTTTTTTTTTTTAATTTGTCTCTCAGTATGTTTGGTGATCCTCAAACCACATACCCTCTCCCCTGCTCAAAGGCCGTCTTCTGCTGGCCGGGCTTGGGATTCTCCTGCTGAGTCAGATGTCGGGGACTTTTTCACAATTCACGGAAATGCTTAACTGTCCACAGATGGAATGTTCTCAGTTGTATTTCTCCTATCGTTTTTTTCCCCTAATTTTTAATGAATAGAAAATACACTTTTTTAAGCACTCTGTAAGCTTTTTGTTATGCTTTTTTTGGAGGGGAGTGAGGACTATAACTTAAATTCACTGTGGGGGCGTTAGTGAAGACTCAGTTGCTAATGGAAATGAAGCTTTTAAAGATCTGTCGGGACAAGGGAAGGTGCATGAGATGTGTGTGTCCAGCCAGAGTTTTCTTGCAGTTGTTGTTTATTTTGTAAACCATTTTCTATCCAGTTACAAGAAAATGGTGTTCTTCCCTCTGCTTAATCTGCAGGGAAGAAAGTGGTTTGGAGATGACGGGAAAATCCTAGCACTGCCAAACCCCACCAAGGGGTTTCCTTCGAGACCACCACTGCTGACACAGGAGCAAGACGTTAAGGCAGAACTTGAAACACTGTATAAAAAGGTAAGCCCACCTCCCCATTTTTGATGCATGAAGGTGCTTGAAAGTGCTTTGCTCTTTGAATAGCTTGGGGTACTAAATTCGTAACATTCTACTTTGGTTGTTGTTGGTTTTTTTTAAGTTCACTACCTTACACATAAAGAACAAACAGCAGGTGTATTATATAAGAGCGAGTCGGCTATGCTCACCTAATCCTTTCTTAAAGAAGGCCTCGTTCCCAGGTAGGAATGGCTAAGTCAGTGACTTTATTTGCATATCCAAGTTAGCTGGCCTTATTTTTCTTCTTTGTTCTCTGCGTTCTCACAGATGCTGCAAGATTATTTCCCACTCATTGTCTCTTTATTATATAACTGGAGATTTTTCTCTCTTTTCTTAAAGATTTATTTATTTATTTTGAGAGAGAGTACCAGCAGGGGGAGGGGCAGAGAGAAAGGGAGAGAGAGAGAAGCTCAACCAGACTCCCCACTGAGCATGGAGCCTGAGGGGGCTCGATCCTACAGCCCTGAGATCATGACCTGAGCCAAAATCAAGAGTCGGCTGCCTAACTGACAGAGCCACCCAGGCTCCCCCAACTGGAGGTTTTCTATCCTTGCAAATCCTTTTCTTTTTTTTTTTATTTTTTTTATTGTTATGTTAATCCCCATACATTACATCATTAGTTTTAGATGTAGTGTTCCATGATTCATTGTTTGTGCATAACACCCAGTGCTCCATGCAGAACATGCCCTCTTTAATACCCATCACCAAGCTAACCCATCCTCCCACCCCCCTCCCCTCTAGAACCCTCAGTTTGTTTTTCAGAGTCCATCGTCTCTCATGGTTCGTCTACCCCTCCGATTCCCCCCCCCCTTCATTCTTCCCCTCCTGCTATCTTCTTTTTTTTTTTCTTAACATATATTGCATTATTTGTTTCAGAGGTACAGATCTGAGATTCAACAGTCTTGCACAATTCACAGTGCTTACCAGAGCACATACCCTCCCCAGTGTCTATCACCCAGTCACCCCATCCCTCCCACCCCACCCCCCACTCCAGCAACCCTCAGTTTGTTTCCTGCGATTAAGAATTCCTCATATCAGTGAGGTCATATGATACATGTCTTTCTCTGTTTGACTTATTTCGCTCAGCATAATACCCTCCAGTTCCATCCACATCGTTGCAAATGGCAAGATCTCATTCCTTTTGATGGCTGCATAATATTCCATTGTATATATATACCACATCTTCTTTATCCATTCATCTGTCAATGGACATCTTGGCTCTTTCCACAGTTTGGCTATTGTGGACATTGCTGCTATAAACATCGGGGTGCACATACCCTTTCAGATCCCTACTTTTGTATCTTTGGGGTAAATACCCAGTAGTGCAATTGCTGGATCATATGGTAGCTCTATTTTCAACTTTTTGAGGAACCTCCATACTGTTTTCTAGAGTGGCTACACCAGCTTGCATTCCCACCAACAGTGTAGGAGGGTTCCCCTTTCTCTGCATCCCCGCCAAGATCTGTCCTTTCCTGACTTGTTAATTTTAGCCATTCTGACTGGTATGAGGTGGTATCTCATTGAAGTTTTGATTTGGATTTCCCAGATGCCGAGTGATGTTGAGCACTTTTTCATGTGTCTGTTGTGTGCCCATTTTCTTAGTTGAAAAATAGGAATAATAATAATCTTCTCTACCTCAGAGGATCATTGTATTCAGATGATGTAACTGTATGCCCTTTTTAAAAATTGTGAATGTCTATGAAATTTGTTGTTACTATAGACAAGTATTAATGAGTGGCTACGTTGTGCAGAAATGTGATCATGGGAGTAGATGATCACAAAACAAGCATCAACCCAAGTCACAGCCCATGAGGGATTTGTCACCTATTTGTTTACATTACAGATACGTGATATAATTAGTGACCGAGACAGTCATCCCCTTGTGCACATATCCAGTAATATATCAGTCTCCCTTCACCTTCCCTCCGTTTCAGCAGGAAACACTGATATAATGAGGCACTAAATTATGGGTAACAGTGAGAAAACAGACGAGTAAGTACTATGTTGAGTTGGGTATTAAGGGAGCCAATTAATCTTATCTGTCTGCTTCAGAGGTTGTGAGCTAGTTGAGAAATGCACAGGGGTCAGAGAGGGATGAAGAGATCAGTTGCACACAGGGTAGAACTGGACAGCAGAAGGCCACTGGAACCCAAGACCAGTTGGACTTCCTGCTCCATCTCCCATGAATTCCACTCCTGTCTAGACACAGCCCTGGTGAGTTCACCGTGGGGACTGCCGAGGAGAACACACGGGGCCAGTAAGCAGGCTCTCGGGAGAGAGCTAAGAAGGGGCAGCGGAGAACCCGGACCAATGGCTCTCAGGCTCCAGCTGGCTCTCTAGTCATGTTCTTCCTTCTCTCTGGGGAAAGAGCCATGAGGATGGGGCATGGGAAGAGAAGCAGGGTGGTTTCCTCCCAATACCTGTGAGAGGGGAGATCTTCCCATCTTGTGTGCAGAAATGGGGAAGGAGATAAGGAGAATGTCCCCCTTGGAGGGGCTGGTCGTCCAGCATCACAGAGCAAAAGAAGTTAGAGAAGGGAGAAAACCAAAGGGACTGGAGACTCCCAAGGTCATTTCTTAGAGGGTCAGGCTTTGGACATAGCAAAGAGCAAAGGATATGTTAGAGTGCATGGGAAGGATGCAGAAGGGTTTAAATTAGAGGGAGGGAATATTATTCCCCCTGTGTGTTCCCCCATTACACATTACCTGTTACATTCACTGTGGACTTGTATACCTCAGTCTTTTTGGGGGGAATGTGGTTGTGGAAACTTCCAGTGATTCAAAACGTAATACATCTCTTTCTAGATTAATATTTTCACAATTTTATTTTTTTACCAACTTTTACCTTTTCCTACATTTATTCAGATCTGTGCAATGTCAAAACCCATGTTTTCTCCACTGTTCCATGTAACAGGCTTGCCTTTAAGAAAAAAATGTTAAATGCATATGGCCTATATTTTTAGTCTTATGTCCAAACATACCTTCCATCTGGGAGGTTTGACATGATGCAGGAGCACAGAAGGAGATGAACAGGTGAGAGGGCTTCACCAATAGCTTATTAATGCATCTCCTCTCTCCCTCCCCCACTAGCCTGAAAGTGACTCAAGGCAAGGATGAGGTTTTCTTCTTCTTTTAACCCTAGCACTGGGCAGGAAGCTGGCACATAGGGACACCTCAATCAAAATACAAATTGAATGTTATTTAAATGATTCAGCTGAGCTGAATGTCTCTAGAAGAGACTCCCTCCTTATTCCTCTCCTCAGCTGTCTCTCCTGCAGAATAGCGGCTTTCCTGGGCTCTGGCTTAACCCTGGCATCCCAGTGATGGAAAACCAAGTCCATGTGCTGGATCGGGATTTGGCAATTCCCTGGGCCATTAATGGTGAATTTATGCCTCAGAGCTCTCAGGCTCGAACTAACCCAGCAGGACTGACCAAACCCATCCTCCATCCCCCATTAGTAATTTTCAAAAATGGAATACTCTACTCTTCCTAAATTAAGACCTTTGTGAGAGACAATTAAAAATAGAGAAATATAAAAAGAGCGTCAATATCGCACAAAGAACAAAGTTAAACGTCAAATGAGAAAGAATGCAATTGAATACCTCTTAAGAAGGAACTATTCCAAAACTTAAGAAAATAAAAATGCCAAGGGGACATTGCACGTCAGACATAAACAATATAAAATGCAGTTCGCTTAATCCTGATGACAAAGTAGGATTAGGGTTATTGAAAGCAATTCCAGCAGCCTCCCTCCTCCCTCCCTCCCTCTTTCCCTCCCTCCCTGCCTTCTTTCATTCCTTCCTTCCTTCCATCTTACCTTCCTTCCCTCCTTCTTTTATTTTTATTCTTCCCATCCTTAACTGAAAGTCCGCTATATTCTCAGTTGTCCTAAATTCAGAGAATATAGAGGTAGCAATATTCAAACATGACCTTAGACTGTACCTAGGTAGGCAGAAATGTCAAGTGTTACCGATTCCGTCAGGGGGAGCCTGGCTGGCTCAGTCGGTAGACTCTGTGACTCTTGATCTCAGGAATTGAGATGAGACTGAGCCCCACGTTGGGCACAGAGTTTACATTTTTTTTTCCAGTTTTTGGGGTTTTTTTGTTTGTTTTGTTTTGTTTTTAAAGATTTTATTTATTTATTTGAGAGAGAGAGAATGAGAGACAGAGAGCATGAGAGGGAGGAGGGTCAGAGAGAAGCAGACTCCCTGCCGAGCAGGGAGCCCGATGCGGGACTCGATCCCAGGACTCCAGGATCATGACCTGAGCCGAAGGCAGTCGCTTAACCAACTGAGCCACCCAGGTGCCCCAGAGTTTACATTTTTTTTAAAAATGAAAGATTCTGTGATTAGAAGTCGGCAAGACATTCCTGGAGGGCATAAGTGTAGAAGCAAAACTGCTTACCATTTTGAGGAATTTACCATGATTCCAACCTCCTTGTCAATTACCACTTGGTAAGATTACCACTTCCCTCTCCACCATTCTCATCAATGTTTCCCAGAGCATTGATCACCTACTGTGTTCTAAGCACTGCATTCACCAACACTCTTTGGGTTGCAAATGATAAAAACTAAAGCAAACCAGCTTAAGTAAAGAGAGAATTTGGTGGCCCATAAAACTGGGAAGGATCTGGAGATAAATCATAAAAATGAAGGAGGGACTTTGGGAACCAGGACCTCGGGGGCTGCCTCTACCTCTCTTTTCTCTGGTTCTCCTTGAATGTTGACTAGCTTCATTGCCTCCAATTGCAGACAGACCAGAATTCTCCATGTGTTAGGGGATATGACCTTTGATAATCTAAGCTTAACAACTCCAGAGGAAAGGATTCTATCTTTTCTTCCAAGATTCACATTTATCAATAGCAAGGACAAACTGGTCAGTTCTAAGTAGGACATGTGACCACCACCTCATGCCCAGAAGATGGGGATGAGAAAGCTTCCAAGAATGAGAAAGCTTCCAGAGAGGACCAGAACAACAGCCACAGAATCTACGGCAGGCTCTGGACTGGATTCAGACTCTGTTCCTATTATTTTCCCAGAGCAAATATAGAGACTTGTATTTTAATCCCACCAATGATTATTCTTTTTCTATACAACTTTTATTTTTTATTTTATTTTTTTTTAAAGATTTATTTATTTTAGAGAGAGAGCGTGTGAGCAGGAGAGGCAGAGGAGAAGGAGAGAGAAGAGAGAGAAGCAGACTCCCTGCTAAGCACAGAGCCCAACAGGGGGCTCAATCCCAAGATCCCAAGATCATGACCTGAGCCAAAACCAAGTGTGGCTCAACCGACTGAGCCGCCCAGGCGCCCTTCTACAGCTTTTAAGTTTCTTTCTCCATTGTCATGCATCTCCACACACACCAAGAACATCAGCAGATAATCCATTTGCATCACCTCTGATAGTCTTGGGTTTTGGTTTTCAATTGAAAATGAAGAATCAAATCAATTTCAAGATTAAAATAATATGTTCTATAAATATCATTTATTCTTAGAAGAAATTATTTCCGCTATTTTCATGGTCGTTCTCAGTATATAGTTAAAGAAAATAAATATATATAATAAATAATTACATAACATAAATATAACAAAAAGAAAGACAAGGAACTGGGAGTCTTTCTCCTTAATAGGAAGAGAGTTGGGCTCTCTTGAGCAGTCTAGCCCAGTGACTACAAGGGTCCTGGAAACTTTTTTTTACGTTGTTGACGTGAGCCTAAGGCAGAGACCACCAGCAATCATTTGACCATGGGCTAATGCAGATTTGGGGAAGGAGAAATGAAGTACAGGTATCCTGGGTAACATTTCAGGTAAATTGGACCATGCTGCCCACATTACTTACTCATACCAAGAAGAGTACCAGACGGAACCTGAGAGCCACACCCTGAGTGACCTAATAACTCTGGAACCCCATGGCAAGAGGAAAGGCAAAGCAAGAACCAACAGGAGCAAAACAATTAGAGAGGAATTTTCAATTAAGTTTGTAGAATGATGTTTAGTTGTACATGTCTTTGTGAGGTGGAAATTTTTTAATTAATCTCAGCAGTCTGGGTGATCGTAAGACACATAGTGGTCACATGCAGATGAAAAACTTCTAACACGGGGGCACCTGGATGGCTCAGTCAGTTATGCATCCAACCCTTGATTTTGACTCAGGTCATGATGTCAAGGTCGTGGGACTGAGCCCTGTGCCAGGTGGGGAATCTGGGTGTAGAGCCTGCTTGGGATTCTGTCCTTCTCCCTCTGCCCACCCCAACCCCTGCTCACCCTCTCTTTAAAAAAAAAAAGAAACAACTTCTAACACAAATGTGGGTTATAATTGAATCCTTTTATCTGAATGAAAGAGAAAAGAAATTATGCCCTCCATTGTGGCACTGTGAAGTGTAAGGATATTAATGATCAGAACTAGGGCTTTTATTAGACATGAAATATCAGTGGAATATGATCCCAGCAGGGATGGTCTTCCCTCCCTTTAAATGCAAATGGAGACTCAACTCAGCATATTCTGGAAGGTACTGAGATAGAGTCAATCCATTCCTATTCAAGCCTACCATTTGTAAACACATCCCAGTTTTAAAAGGATATATATATATTTTTAAAGATTTTATTTATTTATTTGAGACAGAGAGAATGAGAGACAGAGAGCATGAGAGGGAGGAGGGTCAGAGGGAGAAGCAGACTCCCTGCCAAGCAGGGAGCCCGATGCGGGACTCGATCCCGGGACTCCAGGATCATGACCTGAGCCGAAGGCAGTCGCTTAACCAACTGAGCCACCCAGGCGCCCAAAAGGATATTTTTTTTAAGCAAAAAATCTGTTGATCTTCTCATCAAAGACATACTGAATGTTATTTTATAGGAGAAAACATGTTATTTTATTAAAATAAAGATACACTGTGTTGAAGTCTTACAGGAAATCGTAAGTCCTAAATATATATTAATACTCTACTGATCTGGGGGGGAGGTGGGAAATATGAAATGGAATGGCTAAGAAGAAATAGACTCATATATTCCTACTTGTGGGTCCTGGTGCATCTGGCTGTTGTCTCATTCCACCCTAGATCATCATTATCCAGTGAGTGCTTTAACTGGGGTTCCCCCATACTCTGCTCCCTTTAACAGGCAGTAAAATATGTCCACAGAAGTCAGCACATGATTGGATCTGGAGACCCCTCTGGAAATTTCCAACTGGACATTGATATTTCAGGGTTAATCTTCACTCATCATCCCTGTTTTAGCCGAGAACATGTTTTGGCGGCCAAGCTGGCCCAATTATATGACCAGTACCTTGCAAGACACCAGAGAAACAAGGCAAAATTCCTTTCTGATAAGGTACACTCTTCCATTCTTACTGTTGACGGGGTTGGTTCTTCTGATGAGCCCAAGCAACAAAAACACCAGCCTGCAACAAATGTTCGTGCACCTCTTACACGTGCCCCTCAGCCTACGATGTGTGATAGACTGTTCTCCTTGCAAGCAAACAGAAGGCTCTGACAATGCACATTTCATGTGTGCAAATTCAGTGACATGTGCTTGGCTTGAAGAGAAAGGTTTGTGCAAATGGTGCAAGTCATCTCACCTCCCAGGGAGCAGGCATTTAATGGAAGATATGTAGCTGTGTCTTGCTTGCATGACCTCAGATGCTGAGACCATTCACGGCCTGAGAATCTCTCTGTCCTTAGAGACATTCTCATCTTTACATGTAATTTGCCGTAACGTGGTACCCAGACACGAGTCAGTTGTTTCCGATGATGCTCAAAGAAATGGCTCTCTGTGTGACACTTACTTCCAATGTGATGCCATCCCATGGGATTTTCTTGAGTAATTTTGACTACGGGCAATTTTAGCCCCACACTCTGACTTTAAAACCTACTGTCCAAATAAGAGATCACTCCACATTACCTCCTTTTGAGTCTATAGATTTATGATCTAATCACAAAAATATCCCTGTATATCCAGGACCCAGAAAGATCCACTGTTAGCCGTGAAAGAGACCTCATTTCTGAGACACACACATAAATGCAATACTTGTCATGATCATCTTAATGATCTGGGCTACAGAACAGGGATGAACATACCTTGTCCTTTATTATTCCTTTTCTTTTTTAAGAACAGAAGAAAGAGTTCTCTGTCAGAGTTCATTGTGGTGAAAGTGTGGGAACAGTGGGATGTTTGAGCACCCATTCACAGCTTTGTTGGCATCATTTTGCCCTGGCGGAGGGGGTGGTTCAAGGCACATAATTTGCTTAGGCGGTAGAGTCTCTAACTCAAAACTTGTATCCATCTTTTTTTAAGCTCCAAGCTCTAAGAAATGCAGTTCAGACAGAACTTAATCCAGCAAAACCTCATAAATCTCTTGATACAACCCAAAAAGCCATCAATGAGTATAAATCTGAAATTCGGTGAGTAAAGTCTGTAATTGTAACTCCTACCTTTTTTGTTCTCGTTAGATGTGTACTTGTTGAAAGCTTTTTTCAATTTTTCCAAATGCACTGAATATATGAGAAATTAAGCCAAATGAAGTAATGAGATATATCCATCTTATTAACATCAAATTTGAAGTCCAAGAAAAGAATGAGGATGTAGGATATTGTAACTTACTCTGCTGGTGTAAACAAACATCGCTACAAGCCACCACTTTATTTTTTTTAAGATTTTATTTATTTATTTCACAGAGAGAGGAGTGAGAGAGAGAACACAAGCGGGGGGAGGGAGGGCAGGGAGGGAGAAGCAGGTTCCCCACTGAGCAGGGAGCCCGATTCAGGGCTCGATCCTAGGATCCCAGGACCATGACCTGAGCTGAAGGCAGACACTTAATCGACTGAACCACCCAGGTGCCCCTACAGCCACCACTTTAGAGGGTAGCCTGACCATAGGCTAGCAAAGTGTGGAAAATGCCCATAAGCTGGGACCCAGAAAATTTTGTTTCCCGTGTGTGTACTCTAAGAGCTACATGCACGTGTGCACATGGAGACATGTAGTGTGTAAGGAATTCACAGCATCATTTACAAAAGTAAGGAGCTGGGAATGACCCCATACCAGGATGAACACATCTGGTATAGTCTCTCTCTCTCTTTTTTCTTTTTTTTAGGATTTTATTTATTTATTTGACAGAGAGAGAGCAGGAACACGAGCAGGGGGAGTGGGAGAGGGAGAAGCAGGCTTCCCGCTGAGCAGGGAGCCCGATGCGGGGCTCGATCCCAGGACCCTGGGATCATGACCTGAGCTGAAGGCAGACGCTTAACGACTGAGCCACCCAGGCGCCCCTATATATTTTATTTTTTTAAGGAATCATGTTGCATTTACCATCTCACAACTGGCTTTTCTATGTAAAATACATCTCAGACCTTTTCCTTTTATACTACATCTAGTTCTGCACCATTACTTATTTTTAAAGATTTATTTATTTTAGAGAGTGAACGTGTGCACAGGCAAGTGCCCACGAGCATGGGGAGGGGCAAAGGGAGAGAGAAGCGCAAGCAGACTCCCCTCTGAGCGCAAAGCCAAACCCAGACCCGATCCCAAGACCCTGAGATCACGACCTGAGCCGACACTAAGAGTCGGATGCTTAGCCAGCTGCACCAGCCAGGCGCCCCTGTATCATTATTTAAAGGCTGACATAGAGATGTTATGTTCCCTGTTGATAGACATTTGTATTATTCCTATTTTTTATTATAGAAACTGCACTCTAATTGACATTCCTGTGTGCATGAGTATTTCCACAGAATGAATTCTTAGAACAGGAATTTATAAATCAAGGACTTTAAAGATTTTATTTATTTATTTGAGAGAGCATGAGAGGGGAGACAGTCAGAGGGTGAAGCAGACTCCCCGCTGAGCAGGGAGCCCGATGTGGGACTCGATCCCAGGACTCCAGGATCATGACCTGAGCCGAAGGCAGTCGCTCAACCAACTGAGCCACCCAGGCGCCCAAAAAAAAATCAAGGACTTTAAATGTATACTTTTCTTTTTACAATCTAGCCTTGAGTTGGAAATTCCTCCAGCAAAGTGGAAATTAGTGATGTTGAGATACTGTCACTGTAAAAGTATGAAGAGTATGTTTTAAAAGGAAAATTCTTATTTATGCTTTAAAAAAAAAGCCCACAGTGCAGCCTCCTTGTGCAAATAATTTTTGCTTCAGCAAAAAGCCGTCCTGAATACAGTAGTGGCTTTATAGGGACTCGTATTTATCATCAGTATTTGAAAACTGGCAGAAATGTGTGAGAGATGGACAGACCATGCCGGCGGGGGGCAGTGGGGGGGGGTGCCCCACAGATGGCAGACCCAGGGCGGTCTTTCCACTGCCCCTGGAAATGAACACCTCTGTGATCCAGCATTTCTGGCCCAGTAAGAGAGTGGGTTTTAGCCTTTTCCTGATATTTCACTATTGTTAAAACAAATCTAAGCAGATGGCCTGCTCCCGGCTGTCCCCTCACGTGGGCCCCGGCCTGCTGCTGACCAGAGTCCCTGGGAGCCCCCCGCCGGGCATCCGCGGGGTCCGTGGCAGGGTGCCCCTCACCTCAGCCCCCAGCACGTCAGTCATTCTCCATCTTATTTTCTGTAAATGGCGTCCTGACCTCATCGCTTGTCCCCCGAACTGGAACCGGCTATATAAGGAAGGAAGCATGGGTCTTCATGCAAGATAGGGGAGCACTGTATTTAACTCTCTCTACTGGTTCTTTACCCTCAGCCCTACTCAAACTTGAACAACTGAGACTATGACTCTAGATCCCCATCTAGCTACCACTTTCTCTCTGTATTTTCCTTCACAGCCAAACTTGTGGAAAACACTAGCATTCTTGCTGCTCTAGCCCCTTGCCTCCCCTTCACGGGAACCTCACTCACCCACCCACCTTTCCTTGGAGGCTGGTCTTGCCACAGGCCCGGGCACCTCCGCCTTGCTAAGCCCCTCCTGCTACCTGGCCTCTTGACGGCGAGAGGCACTGTCACCGGGGTGGCCTGGTGTGACCTATTTCTTCCCTCTCCTGCCCCCATCCTTCCCACCGTCCTTTGTCTACTTATTCTCCTCTGCCCAGATTCCCAGGATGCAAAGTTCCTCACAAGCTTTTTCTTTTTGTTTTCTTTGTTAACCTGCCTTTTCTCCTGAGATCCGAGTCTAGTCCTGTGGTTGGAAGGATCATCCGGAGGCCAGTGGCTCCCAGGGTTTCCCCTCTGGGGTGAAGCCCCCCTTCGACTCTCTGGAACCCCATCTGCACCAGGTTACCTGACTCCCTGAGCAAAACTGCCTTTTCCTTTTCTTCTTTAGCTCAGATGTCAAATTTTTCTTGCTAAGAGTTCTTTTTTAGCATTTCTGAGAAACTGTTTTCTCAGGTACTAAAAAAGGAAATAGAAAATATATCAGAAAGCCTTAAGGTGTCACACAACTCAGAAAAATAATTTTACATTGCAGTTTTTCAAAAGGAGGCAGGGGAGGCAGCTAAAGGCATAAGAGAAGAACAGACCACTTGATCCTCACAGCTAGCATTGGTGGGCCACTTACCAGATGTCAGGCACCATTCTAGTAGGAAGTTTACAGATGAGGCATGGAGAAGTTAAGTTGTTAGCCCCAGGCCAGCTAGCAACTGGTAGAACCAGGACTGTAGAATCTGATTGCAACATCTGCGCCCTTAGCCACACGCCTTACTGCTTTGCAAGAAGGATGTTTCTTGGGACGCCTGGGTGGCTCAGTCGGTTAAGCGTCTGCCTTCGGCTCAGGTCATGATCCCAGGGTCCTGGGCTCGAGCCCCACATCGGGCTCCCTGCTCGGCGGGAAGCCTGCTTCTCCCTCTCCCACTCCCCCTCCTTGTGTTCCTGCTCTCGCTCTCTCTCTCTCTGTCAAATAAATAAATAAAATCTTTAAAAAAAAAAGTTTCGTAGGTATCAAATTAAATATACAATCACTATAGCATTATTAGTTTCTTTTTTTAATTGCAAACCCATCTAAATAACTTTTTAATATATAATAATAATAATAACATATTCTACCTTCTAGGCAAACAAGAAAATTGCGCGATGCTGAACAAGAAAAAGATCGAACGTTGCTTAAAACGATCATAAAAGTTTGGAAGGAGATGAAATCCCTTCGAGAATTTCAGAGGTTTACGAATACACCCTTGAAACTTGTTTTGAGAAAGTAAGCTTTTTTTCAATAGTTGTTTTATGGGGCTATATCATGCAAAGAGAAAATGCATAAAACATAGATACGGCTTAAAAAATAATTATGAATAAATAATTAACAAGTAATAATAACAACTAAGAAAATGAATAAATGATGATGTAACCACTCCCCAGGTTAAGAAATAGGACATTACCAGTATCTGGGCAGCCCCCATGTTCCTAACCCCAACTACTGCCTCCTCCATCCCAGGAGTAACCATTTTCCAGATTTTTATGATCAGCATTTCCTTGTTTCTCCTTACAGGTTTGCCATCTATGTGTAATTCCTAAGAAAATGTGGTTTAATATTACCTGTATTTGATGTATCCACAAATGAAAGTAGGTTGTCTGTACTCTTTAGTGTATTCTTCACTACCATGTGAGATTCATTTACTTAATATCACATGGCTAGCTGAAGTTATTTACTTTGTTTATAATACTTCATTATATGAATATAACAAATTTGCCCATTTCGCTGTTGACAGACATTTGAGTTGATTCTGTTTTTCAGCTTACAGACAGCACTTCTCTAGGGATCCTTATACATGTCTTTTAAGCTACATGCTCCTAAGCTTTCCCAAAATATACCTGGAAGTGAAATTGTTGAGTCTTAAGGGATGGGCTTCTTTGATACTCACATGCCGAATCCAAACACTTTTCCAGAGTGGTTGTGCTGATTTATACTTTAACCAGTGCTCCCGTAGATCCCTATCACCCAAACCATCCATGTCACCTGCTATTGTCAGATGTTACACTTTCCTTGGCCTTATATTTCCCATTCATGAATTGGCCATTTTGATTTCCTCTGTCTGTTCAAGGCTTGTGTTGATTTTTGAACTGGACTGTTTGTCTTTGTTTCTTTTTCATAACTGGTAGGAATTTGGCGTATATCCTGGACAGGGGGCCTTTGTTGATGCACTCTCTAGTTGCCTCTTTACTCCCTTTTGCTGCTTTTTGATGACAGAAATTCTTAATTTTTTTTTGTCACTTTCTCTTTTTTTTTTTAATTTTTTTTATTCTTATGTTAATCCCCATACATTACATCATTAGTTTTAGATGTAGTGTTCCATGATTCATTGTTTGTGCATAACACCCAGTGCTTCATACAGAATGTGCCCTCCTCAATACCCATCACCAGGCTAACCCATCCTCCCACCCCCCTCCCCTCTAGAACCCTCAGTTTGTTTTTCAGAGTCCATCGTCTGTCATGGTTCGTCTACCCCTCCGATTCCCCCCCCCCCTTCATTCTTCCCCTCCTGCTATCTTCTTTTTTTTTTTCTTAACATATATTGCATTATTTGTTTCAGAGGTACAGATCTGAGATTCAACAGTCTTGCACAATTCACAGTGCTTACCAGAGCACATACCCTCCCCAGTGTCTATCACCCAGTCACCCCATCCCTCCCACCCCACCCCCCACTCCAGCAACCCTCAGTTTGTTTCCTGCGATTAAGAATTCCTCATATCAGTGAGGTCATATGATACATGTCTTTCTCTGTTTGACTTATTTCGCTCAGCATAATGCCCTCCAGTTCCATCCACATCGTTGCAAATGGCAAGATCTCATTCCTTTTGATGGCTGCATAATATTCCATTGTATATATATACCACATCTTCTTTATCCACTCATCTGTTGATGGACATCTTGGCTCTTTCCACAGTTTGGCTATTGTGGACATTGCTGCTATAAACATCGGGGTGCACGTACCCCTTCGGATCCCTACTTTTGTATCTTTGGGGTAAATACCCAGTAGTGCAATTGCTGGATCATATGGTAGCTCTATTTTCAACTTTTTGAGGAACCTCCATACTGTTTTCCAGAGTGGCTGCACCAGCTTGCATTCCCACCAACAGTGTAGGGGAGTTCCCCTTTCTCCGCATCCCCGCCAACATCTGTCGTTTCCTGACTTGTTAATTTTAGCCATTCTGACTGGTATGAGGTGGTATCTCATTGAGGTTTTGATTTGGATTTCCCTGATGCCGAGTGATATAGAGCACTTTTTCATGTGTCTGTTGGCCACAGAAATTCTTAATTTTAAACAGATAAAATATGTTCATCTTTTCTTTTACGATCGGTGCTTTCCGTATGCTGCTTTAAAAATCCTTCCCCTGAGTCTAGTAGATATTCTACTCTATTGTCTCTATAATCCTTATTCTTTTATCTTCCACATTCATCTTTAGTCCATTTGGAATCGATCTTTGTATGGTGTGGAGAAAGTATGCTTGCTACCTAATTCACTAGACTTTGATACATGACTAAGAGGACAGTTATCACAACAAAAGTATATTCTGTATATTAATTAAAGAGCATCTGTGCTGCTGGTTTTCATCCCTTCCTGATTGTTTCCTCAGAGTAAGTGTTGTGCTATACATCGACATGAAAAGTAATAAACGTGGGCAATTATCTGATACTTTGCTCTGAAGACAGCCATGTTTCAGCCAAAGATAGCTGCAGATGGTGATTTTCTTTTAGGGCTGTAATTTTCTTAAGACTTGGAAAACATCCTACCGTTCCCAGGACAAACACAAGATCATGCTTTATGAGGGCAGGGACCTGGTCACCATTGGATCTCTGGTCCCAAACAGAGCACCTGCCACTCAGGATCTGCTTAGTTAATATTAGCTGATGAAAAACAAATTCTGTCTGTCCCACAGAAACTGTGGGTGTCTCCCAGAAATTCCAGGGTTCCTGCTTCTGAATTCCATCTCCCAGGCTACCGCTCCCACCCAGAAGCAGAACATAAATATTTACCTGTTTTCTCTTTCCTTCCTTCAGTTTAGGATAAACTAAACTTTTAGGAAATTTGCCCTTAAGGTCACCTCTAGGTGAAACTTTTCATGATACTTAACACCCCTTCCTCCCATAAGTAGCTGCCTCCTAAATTCCTTTGGAGTGCCCTTCACACTCTTGATTCACCTAGCCACCTTATGATACAGCATAAATTTTTCCCTGCAAAAGTCATCAAATTTCCACTAGTTTATGGATGCCTCTGAATAACAGGGAGCAAAGTGAATGGGTCTCTATATGTCAGAGATGGAGCATAATTTATGAGCCGGATTTCTCTGATGCCTATAAATTTCCAGTGCCACTGTGTTTCCAAAGTGATGTCTTCGTAGTATCCTGGAGCGCTGAGTCTGTGCCTTATGGAACTACTAATTGCTAAACCACCAGGGCCCACATGAATGTCAGCAAATCTGTGTCAACCTTAAAAGGAACAAGAACTTTAGGAGTAGAACCTGCAGGCCAGACGGCATTGATCACGGAAGCCCGGGCAATGAGCTGCAACGATCCCAAAGTGCTGGGGAGGAGGAGTTGGGTGTGGCGTGCCTGCCACCCCCTTCCAGAAGAATCACACACTGATTCACATACCACATTTGTCTAATTTCGGGTGGATTGGGCCACAGCACCTTTTGGGGCAGGAGATCTCCCAGCACTAATGTCCTACCGAGCACACTGCGGGAAACACGGCTTTGGGCTGGGCAGAGCTCCTCATAAAGTATCAGCAGAATCATCAAAGAAAAACTCAGATTGCCAATCCAAAGTCAGACTAGTAGTTTCGGGGGCTCAGAAGCAACATAATGAAGTGGTTCCTCAGAGACTTGCAGCACGAATAACTACGATGACACTCTACCCCTGCTGGTTGAGAATCTACAGGCGTTGGGTCTGTGTGCTCTGGATCACTCAGCTCAGGGGGGCATCGTTGCTTAACCGTAAGTAGCAATCTGTAGCTCATATTCCAGTTCCCTCCACTCACCAACTCTGTGTTCTTGGGCAAGTTACATCATCTCTCTGTGCCCCAGTCTCCTTGCCTGTGAAATGCAGATGCTCGTAGTATCTCGGCCTCCCAGGGTTGAGAGCTAACAGTTACAAAGCTTTCAGACGAGGCCCTGTCACATAGCAAGCCCCATACAGGTGTTTGCTGTTATTATTACTCTGTTACTTAATTTCAAGAGATAACCAAGGTACTGTAAATTATTTTAAAGGGAAAAAGTTGACCAGAAAACAGACGAAGAAGCATATGAGGCAGAAATTCAAGCTGAGATAAGTGAGTTGTTGGAAGAGCTCATGGAAGAGTATGAACGGAAGATGGAAGGGTATAGAGCCTCATACCAGCAATGGAAAGCCTGGAAGAAAGCCCAGGTTTGTCAAGTCCCTCGGCCTTGAGCAGGGCTGACCTTGGGGACAGGAGGAGGGAAACTGGACAGGCCGACTGGGGCCCCTGCTGGCTCCACTCTGTCTCCCATTGAAGGTAGGGCATTGATGCTTCTGGGCTTCCCTGGGAAAATGATATAACTTTGTACCCATAACCCTGCAACATTGAATCCAAGCACAATAAGTAACAGATCAGGTAACCTGCAATAGCTGTGCCCACAAGCCTTACTTTATTTTCAAGATGTGTCCTTGGCCTTTAGAGCCCATATTAATGTTCACCGGAATGGCTAACATTTTTAAGCTCTTTCTAGGTCCCAGGCATTACCTCAAGTCAACAACCCTGGGAACAGCTTCCTGTGATTGTCCCCATTTTGCAGATGAGAAAACAAGGCGCAGAGGGATCAAGCGGCTGCCCGAGCGCACACAGCTGCTTGAGGCGGAGCTGGGTCGGCATCCGGGTCCATCTGGCTCTGAAGACTATGGTTGTAAGCAAAATTGCAAAATTTCTGTTTGACATAAGATTGCCTTTTACCCAACAGAGGGCCAAGAAGAAGAAAAAGAAGCAAGCTGTCGAAGAACATCCCGACGAGGAGATGGAGGAGCCGTATCCCGGGGAGGAGCCTGTGAAACCGGTCCCCCCGGAGGCCACCGATTGGGCGCTGGTAGAGCAACAGGTGAGGGAGAGGGCAGCCCGGAGCAGGAGAAGGCCTGGGGAGCCCACGCTGGTGCCGGAGCTGAGCCTGGCGGGAAGCGTCACTCCCAACGAGCAGTGTCCCAGGTGAGCAGACGCCCCCTGCCTGGCACAGTGTGATCAGGAGAACCATGAACTCTGTAGATCGGTCTCAGATGGAACTACATGAACTTGTAGATGTTTGTCCGTATTTGGGTGATTTCAAATGGTTCCCCTACCTCAGGCATCCCCGGGGGCCACTCAGGAGCACGCTGAGGGAAGCTGCCTGTAGCAAGTGGTACCTGCATGGCTTTTGATTTAGAGCTTTTGTCTGTAACATCAGGGTATCTTCTCTCCACTGGTAGCACATTCTCTGCTCCCCAGCGCGGACGTGCAGGTCTGTCCTTGGCCCTTGTGTTCAGCTGCCCCAGGGGGGGCTAGCTTCTCTCTTTGAAGGCCCCCAGAGAGCCTCCCAGAGGAACTGTGGATACCCCCAGTAGCCATCTGAAGCATATTCTCCGGATTTGATAGAAATACTCTTCTAGGGGCTCCTGGGTGGCTCGGTTGGTTGAGTGTCTGACTCTTGATTTAGGCTCATGTCATGATCTCAGTGTTATGAGATCGAGCCCCATGTTAGGCTCCGTGCTGGGCGTGGAGCCTACATAAGATTCTCTCTCCCTCTCCCTCTGCCCCTGCCACCCCACATGTGCTCTCTCTCTCTCTTTTTTTCTCTCTCTCTCTCAAAAAAAGAAATACATTTCTAGTCATTCATGTGATGCTTAAGAGAGAAACAGTCAGAAGCTTCACCTTATATACATACATCTATACATATAATAAATTCAGTCACCCTCAGAAATAATTAGGATGTGGGGATTCATTAGAATGTCCATATAAAACTTCCTACAACCTCTTCAGTTTCAAACTTATGTTAGTGTATCAATAATGTATTTTTTAACTCTGGCTTTTTTCTTGTGTCCTCCCAACCTCACAGCATTCAGATACTACACATAAATAAACTATTCCCCAGCACTGAATTAGCTATTTTCAAGACACAAATAGCATGCCATATAAAAAAAAAAAAAATCCAAAATATGTGATTACACTTTTTTTTTTGATTACGTGTTTTTTTAAAGGGAAAATTTGGGCTGGATTTGGCAGTCTTTTGTCATGAGTCTTGTTTTGACTGAGAATATATACCTCAGTCTTAAATTTCTTGGTTTTCACTGGGATTTGGGACTATAACCTAAGTTACCCCAAACCAGTGATCATGATCAACCCTTCTCATCAGACCATCATATAAGGGGGACCATGCAAAAGAAGGGGGCGTCTTAGGTCTGTTTGTAGCAGGATGCTACTGGGAAGAAACCATAAAACAACTCTGAGTCGAGTCTTTAGGTGTCTTGAATACTTCTTGAAATTTGGTGTTAAACTCCTTTATAGAAAAAAACAAGTTGAAGTCATTGGAGCGATTCTATATCTGGGATGCGCCTAAATTACCGAGATGTAAAGAGTTAAAACTACCACCCAATTTAATGGGTACAAAATTTCTATTTGGGATTCTGAAAACATTCTGTAGAAGGATAGTGGAATAGATGCAAAACATTGTGAATGTATTTAACGCCACTGAACTGTCCACTTAAAAATAGTTAAAATGGTATTATGATGTGTATGTCTCACTGAAATTTATTTTTTAAATTTTTTTAAAGATTATTTATTTATTTATTTACTTGAGCGAGAGAGAGAGCACGAGCAGGAGGAGGGTCAGAGGGACAAGCAGATTATCCCCTGAGCTGGCAGCCCAACGTGGGGCTTGATCCCAGGACGCTGGGATCATGACCTGAGCTGAAGGCAGACACAACCCACTGGGCCACCCAGGCACCCCTGTCTCACTGCAATTTAAAAAAAAAAAAAGACGTCACCACCCAAAAAACCCTGAGTGTGCTTTGGATTTTATTTCATTTTTCTAAACGTTCCCTGTTCTTACCGAACTTGAGTTGCTATTGACTTAGCCAACAACTGGCACTCTGGGTGAGTATTTCTGAAAATATACACAATAAAATAAGACTACTCTTGGGGGTTTCACCTTTTTTTTTAACTTCCTTGCTCTAAGAATGATACGCTTGCCAGGACATCTTTTTCTGGAATCCAAGTGGCCTTTTAAAAAAAAGAAACTGCTCTTAATCCCCTGCATCCAGTGAGTACTCACCATTGGAAAGTGTTAAAAAAAAAAAAAAACTCGAATCTTGGAGAAGTGGATTTGACTTGTTACAATATACTATTGCATTTTTAGGATAAAACATCCCACCCAAATATCCATCACTACTGTCCCTTATGGATTGGATTCACTGTACTTACAGGACTATGTTTCCATTTACTTAAAACTTTGGGGTGCAAACATAGGCTTCTTTGAAAACATTTAAGGACACCGTAATATAGTGAATGATGCTTGGACTGCAGTTCTTTGGTCCCTGGTGGACTTTTGAGTGCCTCTTTCTTAGTCTGTATCACAGTTTATTATATGAAGCTCCTCGAGACCCGTGGCTGTTTTGGTGTGACAAGAGCTCCGATGATCGGCAGAGTCGTCCCCAGTGTATCTTGTTCTGTTCAGTGTCCATTTGTCAGACTCTCCAGTTTTCCCTAGTAAACTACTCACCCCATCTGTGATCGGTCTCACTTTTCAGGGCAGAGGTCTTGCGAAGGGAGGATGTCAAGAGGCGCTCCATATATCTAAAGGTGATCTTCAACGACAAGGAAGTGTCCAGGACCGACAGTCGACCACTTGGGGCAGACTTCCGAGTTCACTTTGGACAGATTTTCAATTTGCAGATATTCAACTGGCCAGAGAGTTTAACGTTACAGGTATGCATTTTAATTATAGTCATTGTCCCAAGCATTTTTTTGGTGATCACAGGTATGAGTGGTTTTAGGATTTATTTATTTATTTTAGACAGAAAGAGAGAGAGAGAGAGTGTACAAGCAGGGGGAGGGGCAGGGGGAGGGGGGAGGGGAGGCAGACTCCCTACTGAGTGGGAAACCCACTGAGTGGGAAACATGGGGCTCGATCTCACAAACCTGAGATTATGACCTGAACCAAAACCAAGAGCCAGACGCTTAACCGACTGAGCCATCCAGGCGCTCCAGGTACAAGATGGTTTTAAGTCATCCATTGACAACACTGGTGTCCTGATAGATTTTCAAGGTGAACAGAAGGTCAGCCTCCTCTTGGGCACGTCCTTATTGTCTTGGCAGAAGGAGATCTGTTTCCTCCTCACCTGAAAATGCTGGCCACGGCGCTCCAGTGTGTGCCTCGAGATGGGGAAGGGGGATGAGAGGCAGGGGGTCCCTGGTTTTTTTCTTTGGAGGAGTACTTCAATATCGCTGTCTGCCTGGATCCTAGCATGAAATACCTCAGAAATCAATACCGCCATCATCACAGGTGGCTATGATGGGGTGGCTACAGGTTATAGGAATCCCTCAAAATAAATATCACCTCTAATGTAAATCCCACCATTAGCAATATATTTATTTGTGCCTATTTAGCTTCCTAGGGCTGTCCCAATTAAGCTGCTCAAACTTAGTGGCTTAAAACAACAAATACTTATTCTTTCACAGCTCTGGAGGGCCTGAGGTCTGAAATCTAGGGGTCAGTAGGGCCATGCTCCCCCCAAAGCTCTAAAGGAGAATCCTTCCATGCCTCTGCCGATTCTGGTGGCCCTTGGCGTCCCTTGGCTTATAGCATCACTCCAATCTGCTGCCATCTTCATATGGCCACCTCCCTGTCTCTATGTGTCCTTTTTTGTTTCTTACAAGGACATTCTCACTGGGCTTAGGCCAACCGCAATCCCATGTGAGCTGATCTCGATGTTTAACTAATTACATCTATAAAGACCCTATTTCCAGATAAGGTCACATTCTGTGGTTCCAGGTAGACAGTAATTTTTAGAGGACACTATTTAATCCACTGCGGTGTCCAAGCTTGCTGTTCTAATGGTGAATCCTCTTCTATGACGCTAACAGAATTCTCTTTTATGATAGCCTGTTAACTAGGGTTGCAAATATCTGGCACACATGCCTTTGCTTGCCATCCACTACCCACATAGTCTGCATCCACCATGTGTGCACAGATGTCTCGTTCCCATCCACCACCCTTGCAAGAAGTGACTACTTGATCGTGTCTTTTTCCCCCACACTGAGGCTGGACAGGACTTCAGAATCCTTCCCAACACTGTTGAGGCAGCCACTACCTATTGGTTGTAACTGACATTAGCTGCAGGTACAATTACAGCTGTATCATTATTAAAATATTTAGGGGTGCATGGGTGGCTCAGTCGGTTGAGCATTTGCCTTTGGCTCAGGTCATGATCCCAGGATCCTGGATTCCAGCCCCGCATCGGGCTCCCTGCTAGGCAGGGAATCTGCTTGTCCCTCTCGCTCTGCCTCTCCACCTGCTTGTGCTCTTTCTCTCTCAAATAAATAAATAAAATCTTTAATAAAATAAAATAAAATACTTAAATACTTCTGTACTGCATTCCCTAAATGCCTCCCTGGCCACGTAGACCCCACTTCCAAGATCCCCTGGACCTTCCCACAATGAGCCAATTAAAGAGTGTGTGAACAAGGCTAATGCCTCCAGGACCTTGTTTTCATGTGTGGCTAACATCTCTTCTGATTGGTTAGCGCTTGGCCGTGAATATTCTTTGATTTTTTGGACATCAACCATTACCTAGATCCCAGTAGTCGGAGGGGGAGACGAACCATGAGAGACTATGGACTCTGAGAAACAAACCAAGGGTTTTAGAGGGGAGGGGGGGTGGGAGGATGGGTTAGCCTGGTGATGGGTATTAAAGAGGGCACGTACTGCATGGAGCACTGGGTGTTATACACAATGAATCATGGAACACTACATCAAAAACTAATGATGTACTGTATGGTGATTAATATAACATAATAAAAAAAATACGTTAAAAAAAAAAGCCTATTAAAACTGGTAGAGGAGGGTGCCTGGGTCAGTTAAGCATCCGACTCTTGATTTGGCTCAGGTCATGATCTCAGGGTCATGAGATGGAGCTCCCCCACCCCCAGTGTCAGGCTCAGCACTCAGAGCAGTCTGCTTAAGATTCTCTCCCTCTCCCTCTGTCCCTCCCCTCCCCAACTTGTGCATGCACGCACTCTCTCTCTCTAAAATAAATAAATATAAAAAAATAAAGAAGACTTAAAAAAAACGGTAGAGGAAGTTTGAGACAGCTAAGATAGGGAGCCCTCTTGAAATGGGAAGGAAGCATAGTAGCAGTGCTCGGGGTGAGATTAGGGCTGCCAAGCGATGGGAGGGGGACCCTTTTAGGGTCAACCACCTCAGATGGGGATCGCCCCAGAGACTGCAGCAGTTTTATCCTGTACCGTTTCATCCATGATCTGGGGGTGGCAAGGGCAGAGGGCGGTCCTCACTTACACGGCACCACGCATCAAGACTCAAGCCAGATTCTCTGCCACTGATATCTACACAATTGAATAAGGTTTGGTTTTGTTTTTTCTTTTTTTTCAATTTTAGAGCTGACTTGTCCCAGTCACTGCTTTAATCTTTAAAACCCTGTCCAATTTTTAAGAAAGTGTCTATGTATTCTGGAACTCGAAAAAAAATAGAACTTATTTTGCTGCTACCCTGAAAGTTAACTTCGGGCAGGAGGAGAAAGCAAGGACATTTTGTTAACATAAAAAATGGTATTTGAAAGGGGATTGGATTTGGAGGTTTGGTGAAAAACTGAGCTTTCCTAAAGCCTGAAAATTCCCTTTCTGGGATCATCCATGGGAAGATAATCTCTATAAGTTGCTACTTGCTTCCGCCTTGGTTTACAACGCTGTGTGGATACAGAGGGTGAAATTGGGGTGATGCTGCCTGCCGAGTCACCGGGAGTCACCTCCCACTCTGCGCTGGGAGGTGAGCTGGAGCTGCCCAGGCTCTCGGGTGTCAGGTTCATGCCCACCCTCCCAGCCCTCTCCTCCGGGGCCCCTGCTGACTGCCTGCACCACACCGAGGGTTCCTCCTCCTCTGTCCTGTTAGCAAAGCCACGCCTAGGGGCTCTGGGATCCTAGGGACTGGGTTGCACCTCACCACCACTCCCTGTGAGACACACCATTATTTGCATCACTTAACTACCATGCACCATGGATCAAAAGACACAATCCCATTTCAGATATGCTGAGATTTAAAAATCTAGTACTCTCTGTACCACTAAGACCTGATTAAGAGAGGCTTTTCTGTCCGGGGATTCCGTGAGTAAGGAGATGGGGGGCAGTGCCCTTCTGTTTGGATGGCCAAGGCCTTTGGATGGTTTAGAATCTGAATGCCTTTGGCGTAAATGTTGCACCCCGCTGGTCCTAAAGCCCCACATCTTCTCCACTTCCCGTATGAACCTCCTACCGTGGCCCTGAACCCATGTGGCTTTAGCAACAGTTTAAAGAAAGATTTACTGCATGTGAAAAACTGTCTAAATTAAGAATAACACTTGATGGAGAGGCGCCTGGGTGGCTCAGTCCGTTTAAGCGTCTGCCTTCCACTCAGGTCATGATCCTGGAGTCCTTGGATCGAGCCCCAAGTCAGGCTCCCTGTCCAGTGGGGAGCCTACTTTTCCCTCTCCTCCTCGCTCATGTGCTCTCTCTCACTATCTCTGTCTCTCTTTCCCAAATAAATAAGTAAAAATCTTTAAAAAAAAAAAAAAGAAGAAGAAGAAGAAGAAGAAGAAAACTTGATGGAGAAAGTACATGAACACAAACCCTAGAAGCCAACTTGTTGCTGTACTGTCACCTGCCCTGAATATCGAGGGGTTGCTGGAGGCCCCCATGTGAGTCCCTGCATACTAGGTCCACAGAATAGGAAAGCGTCCAGTTATTCAGAGTTTGCCCCCTCATTTGAATTCTGTCCTTGACTCATCTCCCCCATTCCTCCCTGCAGAGGAAACGCTGGCATGAGGAGACCAAGATTAAGGGGAAAAAGCATGTAGAGGGACAGAGTGAAGCGAGGGATAATAATGTGGGATAACATGGCCAGTAAGAAGGAGAGGGAGCCCTGGTAGGGGACACCCCACTGAGAAGAGCACAAAGGACAGGAGAGGAGCCCCCCCGCCAGCAGGTGTCCCTGTACTCAGACACCCTGACAGCCTGTGACAGTCTCTCTGCTGGGCAATCGTACATCTTCTGAATTTCTGTAGAAGGAAAGACGTCCTCCCTCTTCCATCATCACCAATATTTTACTTCACATTTATCTGAAATAGAAGGGAAGCTCCTAACCTCTCTCCTGTTTGCTACCTTGGATATTAGCTTGGTTGGATGTTGCAATCAAAACAATTTTTTTAAGTAATATGAAAAAAGTAATTCTCTAAAATATGATGAAATAAATCTTTTAACTAAACAAGCAAAATTTTATCCTGGAATACCAAGAATATATTCATAGGCAATTAGCCTGGCCCTAAGAGCTGAATCATGTCATCTTTAGATATTACAAATTAAAAGAGCCTTGGCTAAATTCTTAAGCTGTCTATAGAGATGTGATAATGGATCAAATCACATATCATAATGGCTCAATGGCATAATTTTTATGATTGAGGAGTAGTTACAGATGAAATTAATTTAAGGGCTATTGTATTTCAACTCTCTAGGAATTGAGCTATGCCATTTGGGAATTTTCCACATAATTGCAAGTGTGGAATTAGGGAAGGTTCAAGAATTACTGGCAGCTTTAAGAGGGTGAGGAAAATTGCCTTAAATGTATCTGTTTACTCCAGCGTTATCAAATCCTTAACTTTAGAGCCCAGAGTACTTCAGAAAAAGTTCTGAGATTCTCAAAACTATAATGCATCAGTTGG